CCCCCACGATCCATTTCCGATTAAAAATCTATTTGCACGCTCGCGAGTCTCGCGTGTACGATGTATTTTTGATCGCCTATACTCCGAGGGGCCAACCGAATTGCTCTACGAAGGGTAAGCGTAAAAGCTTTCTGCCCATCGTCCGAGGATAGCTCCTCCTATCATCAACGCGATGACAAGAGATTTCCCATCATGGCATAGGTAAAGAATAAACTTGTATCAATGTATTTTTGTATTTTTATATGTTGTTTTAGAGTGTATGTATTTTATATGTAATATAAAATCTTTTTGACCACACATTAGGATTTATATATTCTATACACAAATTATTTACAAAAAAATTATATATTTGTTTCTTTGTATAAGTTATACGTATTTTATATATATTTTTGTATTTTTTTTTATAGGTGCAAGATTTACGAGAGCTTAAAGGGGTAACTGTGTAAAAGGTAAGTATAAAACAGGTAAGTATATCATATTTTTATAATTAGATGTAAGTAAAATGTTGAAAAAATGATTTGTTCCTGAAAATATGCTAGTTTAAACAGGTAAGTAATTAAAAGGTAAGTATAAGGTAAGTATAAAGGTAAGTATATTATATATTTCAGAAATTTTTTGAGCCACCTCTTCAAAGATTATGTTTTCCTAATAAAAAATCATAAAATTTGATCGCACGTAAAAAATTATCAAAAATTTTATGTCCAACAATTTTTGATCAAAATTTCGATTTTGTATTAGGAGAACATGATATGATAGGAGGTCGTTCGAGAAATTTTTCCCGGAATTTTGGCATTTCTTGGAAATGACGTCAAATTCCTGGAACTTCCGAAATTTCTGAACGAGCAAAATTTTTGGCCGAAAATTCGATTTTGTATTAGGAGAATATAAGTTGATAGGAGGTCGTTCGAGAAATTTTTCCAAGAATTTTGCCAGTTCTTGGAAATGACGTCAAATTCTTGGAACTTTAAAAATTTTTGAACGAACGAAAATTTTGGCCGAAAATTCGATTTTGTATTAGGAGAACATAAGTTGATAGGAGGTCGTTCGATAAATTTTTCCCGGAATTTTGACATTTCTTGGAAATGACGTCAAATTCTTGGAACTTTAGAAATTTTTGAACGAACGAAAATTTTTGGCCGAAAATTCGATTTTGTATTAGGAGAACATAAGTTGATAGGAGGTCGTTCGAAAAATTTTTCCCGGAATTTCGGCAGTTCTTGGAAATGACGTCAAATTCCTGGAACTTTAGAAATTTCTGAACGAGCAAAATTTTTGGCCGAAAATTCGATTTTGTATTAGGAGAACATGATATAATAGGAGGTCGTTCAAGAAATTTTTCCCGGAATTTCGGCAGTTCTTAGAAATAACGTCAAATTCCTAGAATTTCTAAAATTCTTGGAAATGACGTCAAATTCTTGGAACTTTAGAAATTTCTGAACGAGAAAAATTTTTGGCCGAAAATTCGATTTTGTATTAGGAGAACATAAGTTGATAGGAGGTCGTTCGAAAAATTTTTCCCGGAATTTTGGCATTTCTTGGAAATGACGTCAAATTCTTGGAATTTTCGAAATTTTTGAACGAACGAAATTTTTGGCCGAAAATTCAATTTTGTATTAGGAGAACATAAGTTGATAGGAGGTCGTTCAAGAAATTTTTCCCGGAATTTCGGCAGTTCTTGGAAATGACGTCAAATTCTTGGAATTTTCGAAATTTTTGAACGAACGAAATTTTTGGCCGAAAATTCAATTTTGTATTAGGAGAACATAAGTTGATAGGAGGTCGTTCGAGAAATTTTTCCAAGAATTTTGCCAGTTCTTGGAACTTTCAAAATTCTTAGATAAACGAAATTTTGGTCAAATTTCCCACTTTTTATTAGGAAAATATAACTGAATAAGAGGTGGCACGTTCTCGTGACTTTTTCTTTTTTAATTTTTATTAAATTTTATATACTTACCTATACTTACCTTAAGATACTTACCTTTTCCATACTTACCTTTAACGATTGCTATTTTTTATTTTATTTTACATTTTTTACACAGTTCTCTTAATTCTAAATGATTTATGAATATGATAAAATATACAGGATGGATTTATTTTTATTATCCGTAATCTCTCGTTTATTTTTGATAATGTTAAAAAAATGTTTCAAATAACAGTTAAACAGTTTCAAGGGAGGCATATTCCGATGTTATTAATTTTTTCTTAGATGGATGCGTAAACGAGTTGTGTTAAGATCAATGTTGTTTTTTTATAAAGAATTATATGTTGTTTAATGCATTAATCAATGCAGCTCGACATTCTCTATAAGAAAGTATTAAACCATACGAATGAACAATTATTAATTTAGAAGATAATTAAATATAATTAAATATCTTCTAAACTAATAGCTTTTCACTGTAAACAATCAATAAATTTTTATAGAGAATGACGTTCTGCATTTACCAATGTATCAAAAAACACATAACTCTACTTAAAAAAAAAACAACTCGAACTTTATACAACAACCCCTACACGTCCACGTACAAAAATATCAATAACATCGAAATACACTCTACTCGAAACGATTCAATTTTTATCTAAAACAATTTTCAATTTACTATTAAAAAAAACAAGCGAGAGATTCCAGATAATAAAATCACCTTCATCGATCTGTATATCTATAAATGAATATGAATGATTGCATACGTACAATCAACGCATCTGGAATATCGCGTGTCCACAACATCTGCGTCCATGCTAATACCTCTCTTTAAACCTCTTTGCCTTGGCCATATTTCTCGTCTCTCTAAGCTCGGCAAACGCGCGACTATATATCCATCCCTAGACCGCGAAACGGTTGATCGAGTGGTTGAAACATCCTCTCCTCAGAAAAGATGAGCAGAAAGAGCACAAAGATCTCGAAGAGGCAGCTGAAAAAGAGTGGAGATGCTCAGCTGTCCACCAAGCTTTAACTTACTCGACCAGGCAAAGAAAGACTCTCCTCTCTCTGTCTCTCTCTCTCGACATATCTCCATCAAGGCTGAAAGGACCGCACGAACGTCGCGAGTCTATCCACCTATCCATCCGTGGAACACAAACGCGCAGAGAAGGAGGAAGGAGATCTCAACGGTCTCGAATAAATAAATTGGATCGATCTTCTGGTAACTTTTCCATCCGTTCTCGGTGCAGCTGGAAACCGATCGTAGGTCGATCCATGGGAGAAGCACTTCAACTTTTTTTTACGAGTTCGATTAGAGGTTCGGAGAGAACGGATAGAAAAGCTGGGAAAAGGAAGGATGGGAGGGGGTTTGGTTGGTTGGTTGGCTGGCCGGAGGAGAAGAGGCCAACATTGTGCCTCCGTCGGCGCGATTCTTTTTTACTACCCTCCCTTTCCCCCTTCCGGCGGAAAACGTTCGGTTGTTTGCCGAGAGACAATTTCCTGAGATACGTAATTAATGTCTATGGCCAGCCAAGGCTTTTAATCGAGCCGCCTCGGCATTCTATGATTCTCGAGAAAAGAAAAAAAAGGGGCGGAGGGAGGGAGAGAATGTTCCCGCAACAAAGGAAGGCGAGGAACCGAAATTGCGCCGAGGGTAAACGGTCGTCCACGATGTGTTTTAATCTCAGATTCGATTCTCTTTTACGAGGATAATAAGAATATAAATAATAATCCGAGATGAATACATATATAAACATATTTAAGGAGGAAACAAAGAGAAATTGCTTTCGTCAATTTTTCATTTCGATTCCTATCCTATATATATATATGTTCCTATTCGAACGCGAAATTAACATTATATCGAGAATATATCTGGGAAAAGAAAGGGAACGAACGATCGCTTGTGCAGCATCGTCGAATAAATATCCGACACAATGGAGGGAGGAGCAACGATTATTGAAAAATGATTTCAGACGGTGAATGAGTCGATTCGAAGTCGACGAGTCCGGAAGAGGTGGTCGAAGGTCGCCGCCCTTGGCGGATAATTTTGTCGCCGCGACTAAAAGGCTAAAGGTGAAAGTGAAAGAAAAA